GTAATAGGAAGATTTGGCTTTCACAAAAGAATTACTTGAAGAAGATCTTGTCACGATTCAACATGCAAGATTGTAAGCCAATTTCTACCCCTCTTCCTATTAACTTCAAATTGTCCTCTAGTATGAGTCCTAGCAGTGAAGAAGAGAGGATGAAGATGTCTCGAGTGTCGTATGCATCGGCAGTGGGAAGCTTAATGTTCGCTATGATATGCACAAGACCATACATTGCACAAGCAGTGAGAGTGGTTAGTTGATACATGGTGAATCCAGGCAAAGAGCATTGGAATACAATGAAGAGGATCATGAGATACATCAAAGGGACCTCAAATGTTGCATTATGTTACGGAGGATCAAACTTATTAATCAATGGGTATGTAGATTCTGACTATGCAGTAGATTTGGATAAAAGCAAATCTACTACAGGATATGTGTTCAAAATTGCTGGTGGAGCTATAAGTTAGGTTTCAAAATTGCAGTCAGTTGTGGCTACATCAACAACAGAAGCAGAATATGTAGCAGCTACACAGGCCAGTAAAGAAGCAATTTAGTTGAAGATGCTATTGGCGGAGCTTGGGCACAATCAAGAGTATGTCTCTCTATTTTGTGACAGTCAAAGCACCTTACATCTAGCAAGGAATCCAATATTTCATTCAAGGACAAAGCACATACGAGTTCAGTACAATTTCATTCGTGAAAAGGTGGAAGAAGGAACGGTAGATATGCAAAAGATCCATACCGAAGACAACATAGCAGATTTCATGACAAAAGCGATCAATACCGATAAATTTATTTGGTGTCGATCCTCTTGTGGCTTGTCAGAAACGTAAGCAACATGAAGGTACAAGGTAGAACGAATGGTGTGAAGATATGATTGTTTCAATCAAATCTTCAAGTGGAAGATTGTTGAAAAGTCAAAATAAAACACAAACTTTCGGTGGGATTTTGGCAACGATTTTTTCGATGCAAGTGGTGCAAATGGCAGCATGAATTTAATGACTTTAGGTAGGGGTAAAATCTCAATTTTAGTCATTGTAATTTAGGGTATTTACAAATTAGTCCTTAAGCTTCAACTATAAATACCCTAGCTCATTTAGTTTCAAAACCATCCCAAATCATTCTAGTTTTCTCCCAATACTAGAGAATTTAGAGAGTTTCTTGAGAGTTGTTTTCTCTTTTTTATCAAGAGAGAATTATCATTGTTTTCTCCTTGGTAGATCGAGAGAAGTTGTAATTCTTATTTTCTCATAGTGAAATTATTCTATCGTTGCCTGTGGTTTTTATTCTATATTATTTAGGGGTTTTTCACGTAAATTTTGTGTCTTTTTTATCTTCATTTTTATTTTATCAAATTATCAGTTGCGATTTTGCTCTATTTGATAGTCGTTTTCCGCAACACATTCGACAAATTCTGAAAGCCAGCCAAGAGTTTGGATTTTTCTAGGTTCGAATAATTTCAAGACTCCAAGCATATCATTACTGATTAAAATCTTTATGCACAACTGATGCATATGTTCAAACACTGCAGATAATCAACCATGGAGTTTCCGACGATTTAATGGAAGAAACCATGAACGTTGCGGAGGAATTCCATGCAATGCCAGGCTCGGACAAGGAAAGGGAATGCACCAAGGACCCGAACGGGAGCTGCAAGCTGTACACAAGCAGCTACGTGTATCCGAGGGAGGATATTCACTTGTGGAGAGATGCCGTCATGCACCCTTGTCGTCCTTTAGACCAACACATCCAATTTTGGCCTGAAAAGCCAACTAGATACAGGTAAACTATCACGTCATTTCGAATCAAACTTTATATATATATATATATATATTATTATACCTACAAATCTCTGCTAATGAAAACTCCCGGAAGAGTTCACCCTCTCAATAGAGCTTTTAGAAAGATTATACATCTCTGGAATTATCCTCGGTCGAGATCGTTCTCTGAAACCTATACTTCTCTGTCGTTAACTTGACCTTTAATAGAGTTAATTCTGATAATTGACAGGCATATATGTTTGATTTGTCAGTCTATTAATAGGCATGGTGACTCCAAGTGTAATCGCCCTATAATCGGGATATTAATACCCCGAGGAAAGACTGAAATGGAAAATTCTCTCTTTTATCAACTCTCTTAGGTGGCATTTGGTTCACTGGAATGTTTATGAAGGAATTAGAATCTATGAAGGAATTAGAATCTGTCAAAAATTAGAATCCAATTTCATATTCTGTTTGGTTGGCAGGAAATAAAATTGGAATATAATTTCATATTTTGTTTGGTTCGCAGACATGTCAGATGAATTTGATTTCAGTAATGTAAAATGACAAAATTACCCTTCTTGTTTTTTTGCTTTATTTTATTTTTTTTACAACTTAAACGTAGTAATATATTATAAAAAAATTAAAAAAATATTAAATTTTCATTTTATTGATTGATTATTCATTTCAATAAATAATAAAAATAATGCTAATAAACATCATAAGTTAAAATCATCGCAATCAAAATATATTCATAAGTTACCAAAAGATAGATCAATATTTCGATACATTCTAATCGGAGTATGTTAATTAGTTACCAAAAAATATACCAAAAACTATTTTTATTCAATATATGAATTAGAAACCCTACCCGACACGATACAAAATAATAATAAAATTATTTGTATTCAATAAAAACATTGACTTAATTGGAAAAAAATTATATATAGAGGGGTATTATTGTAATTATTCCTAATTATATAAGGTAAAATTGTATATTTTTTTCGGGTCGGTCCCGTTTTTTTCACCCTAAACCCGAACCCGACCCAACCCGAATATCACACTTAAAAAAACCCGACCCGAATATCACACTTAAAAAACCCGACCTGACCCGAACAAAATAAAGTTTCACCCGACCCGAATATATGAATTATAAATCCGACCCGACCAGACCCGAAATAATAAAAAATTATTTTTATTCAATAAAAACAGTGACTTAATTGAAAAAATATATATAGAGAGGGGTATTATTGTAATTATTCATAAATATATAAGGTAAAATTATATATATTTTTGGTTTGGGTATTTTTCATCCTAAACCCGAACTCGACCCGACCCGAATATCACACTTAAAAAAAACCGACCAGACCAAAATAAAGTTTCACCTGACCCGACCCGAATATATGAATTGGAAACCCGACCCGACCCAAAATAATAATAAAAATATTTTTATTCAATATATGAATAAGTTATCAAAAGATTGATGAGGGTAGTATGGTCAAATTTCAATTCCCTCCAACAAGGGAATTGAATTCCATCCATTCTTGGATAGAATTAACTTTCCCTCGTTTGATGGAAAGTTGAAGCCATGAGGGATTCCAATTCCTTTGGAAAACTTGAACCAAACATTGGAATTAGGTGGAATTAGATTCCAATTCCTCTAATTACAATAGATTCTATCTAACCAAACGCCACTTATCTATATCATCTATCTTCTCTCCCATGAGACCTTTCTCTTCTCTCCTATAGAGAAACATTAATTTATAGTTGTTTTTACACAGACTGTGACTTTTCACCCAAACCATTAAAAGGGTGAACCGTCAACTATCGACGTTCACTGACTTGTTCCCATCAACCTATGACATAACTGAAACTTTTTCAGCTTTTAATGTGCATGAAATATTCTTCTTGACTGTCGACAGTTTGATTTTATCACTCTTTTTCTGTTCATTTATTTCAGAGAAGTAGTTGGGGCTTATTCAGTTGAGTTAAGGAAACTGAGTTGTAGAATCCTGGAGCTTATATGCGAAGGATTAGGGCTTCACATTAATTATTTCAGCAATGACCTCAGTCAAGTCCCCAAAATCATGATTAATCACTACCCTCCATGCCCTGAACCGAGTTTAACACTGGGATTATTGAAACACCGTGACCCTACCATCATCACCATTCTTCTTCCAAGCCACATAAATGGCCTCCAAGTCTTCAAAGATGGTCGGTGGATCGGCATCGAACCGCTTTCTCATGCCTTTGTGGTTAATATAGGCTTCCTTTTACAGGTACAACATCAAACCATTCGTCATAAATTGTAAAAAAAAATTCGATTTCTGAATACTCTTTTTGTTGTTTATATAAATGATTAGCAATGGGAAACTGAACGGAGCTGTACATCGAGTGGTGACGAATTCAAGAGATGCTCGGACCACTGTTTCGTTCTTCATATATCCGTGTGATGAAAGCCTCATCGGACCGGCGAAAGGTTTGGTTAATGCAAGCAATCCTGCAATTTACAAGGCCTTCAAATTTGCTGACTTCATTAAAGCTTCCATTCTCAACCATGACGGTCAAGCTTTGAAGGAGCTTATATATAACTCAACGGCTTAAAACTCTATAGCTTTTAAAGGTTTTGGATTCGAATCAAGTAGCAATGTTATGGGATATAAAAAGTTGAAGATTTCGAATTCTAATAAAATAATAATGTTATATGCATAAAATAAATAAATAAATAAAACCTTCGACTATATATTTTATAAATTTATTTAAAATGTCAAATTTAAATTAGCAACGTTAATATTTAATAGTGTTGATCTTGCTCTTTGTTCAGCTTAGGGTTCAAGTCCTGCTATGTTTGTTTAATGGTTTTATCATCGTTGATCATTAACCCCGTCAATTCTTACTTAACATATGATGAATTATTGGTTTTGGACATATTTTAAATCCAAATTAAGCATGTATTTGATTATTAACTTTTATTAAATGAAGTAATTGAATTAAAACAGAAAAACATGTAATAATTTTAAACAAATTCATTTTTCGAAGAAAATTTCAATATAAAAGAAGAAATTGCCAGTCCCTATACTATAATCGAACCCTATATTAAGAATTTTTTCTGGATTTGAAATCCTAAAACGTCCATGAATTTGTAATTTGTGCAATCGAAAGGGTTATTCACATCCTATAATTCCTTGTAAACAGAGAAATTTTCTTGGTCCCAACTTTGTGTAATGATTCAATGGAGATTTAAAATAATGCAAAATCAGAATCAAGTTATTGAATTCCAGTTGCTTACAGTAAAAAAAAAAAACAGTTGAATTAATCAAATATGTATAATAAAACTTGCTAAAAACTTAATTCATTTGTTCCTATAAGGGTTGCCTATCTTCTTGCGTTTCAAGAAGATCCTCTAACAACTTGTTGTCCAGGCACTCAAATTCAATAACTTCAGCTCCACGCCCTCTAGCAGACGATGAAGCCGAAGACGGTGGAGGCAATGTCGGATTCTGGTATTGGTACTCGTTCGGGAAGTTGAGAATAGCCGAGTGACCCCGGAAAGCATAAGCGGCCCTGTCATAGGCTCTTGCAGCTTCTTCGGCCGTCTCGAAAGTTCCAAGCCACAACCGCGCGCCATTCCTCGTCGGATCGCGAATCTCCGCTGCAAACTTCCCCCACGGTCTCCGTCGAATCCCCCTGTATCGAACCTCCCTATTGTTCCCTATGTTCTTCCCTCCTTGATGTGCTTCCATTCGTTGGTTGGTTTGTTTTTTCAACAAAGTTTACAAAATGAAGACATGTATAAATATTACATGGATTATTATTATGAGAGAAAACCGGAGTCATAAGTGACGGTTGGAATTGGTTGTTGCGAGGAAACTTCGTGGGAGGAGGGAAAAAGCAAAACTTGGATGTCTGAAACAAGTAGGAGACCGTAGTAATGTTTTCTTTTTGTTGCTGAAAGCCTAGTGGTGGGGAGTTTCATGATGCTATTGGTGACGAGTTTCTTAAGTGGCGGCTCTATGTTGAGTGGATTCATTTTTGCCGTTGGTTTGTGTGCCTTTTTCCTTGATGTTGTTCGACTGCTGCAAAATCCAAAACCATGCTACCATTTTCTTTGTTTGGTTGAAAAGAAAGACAAAAAGGTTTTGATTTTAATTTGAAGGATTGAAATATTATTTACATTATTGAAGTATTTAATCTATTAGCCATTGCTAAGGCTTTGCCATTACCACTTTAAATGATAAAAACTGAACCCAAGAAAGCAAATGGGTCATTGGATATGGAACCTGCAAATCCCTGATTTATGCTTGATGAAGGAAGAAATTGCATTTTATAATATAATATACCACGCTTTATTGGCTGTACATGCAAAACATTAATTTCATCAATTTAAAACAGAATCATTATTTTCTCAATCTCCAACTACCACAAACCTGAAGCTGCTTCAATATTCTTTTCACACACAACTAAACCTTTGGTACTAAATCCTTGGCAAATCGTTTTGATTAGAAAAAGCCCGTTCATTTCAATTGATTTCAATTGGTAATTACGATAAACCAATCAGAAAACTAAAATAATATTTAATTGAAATAACAATATCATTTTTAGTTGTTCCTTCTAAGTAAGTGATTCATCTCTTTTTCTTTTTGTCTTTGTTGATCGGCGGCGGCACAAACTTTAATGTTAGTTGCCGACCGTCAATGTTATTCATTGTCATTTTATTTTCTCTTGTTTTTTATTTCAATAAGTCTGACTGTATGACACATTTTCTTCTGCCTTTATGGTATATTTTCCTTTGCCTTTTGAAATGTTTTTCGGCCGTTGTTTTCACTTATCTTTTTTTAAGGGTTGATTAGGTCATGACTGATTAAGATGACGCTTATCTGTTATATTGTCGATCTTCCATGTTTTGGACCTTGTGATTAGATTTGGATACCCGTTTTGCGTTCGTTGATAGTTTTTCACGCTTTTTGAGTCTGATTTGGTGTTTTTCGGTGTTCTTTCAGTAGCTTGATCCCCTTTTGTTGTTCGATTGCCAATGAGATCTATTTGTATATATCTTTATTCGAGTTTTCTTGGTTAGATTTTAATCTTTCCTTGTATGGTTCTTATGTGATCTTAAGTTGCTAGCTTTGTTTCAATGATTATAGAAAATTGTCCTAATTATGCGTTTACTTTACGATTATGATTGTAAAACTTTATTATAATTTAGGATATTTTCTATTTTGAATAAAATTAGTGATTTCTTTTTAAAAATAATATAATATTTAATTTATCCACGTATTTATCCTCCGGTAACCGTCGATATTGAATATGTTTAGATTTGTACGAGGTATCTCTCTCCGACAACTTCCCGGAAGCAGCACTGATAGTGTTGCAATACCGAATAAATAAATAAAACAAAACCCGAAAGGCAAAGACCAAAGACAAAGATTAAAACGTCTTCGTGATGCTCACTTTTTGTTTCTCCAATTATATAATCTAATAAACTGGTCCTAAACATCAATTTATTAGTTTAATTACTTGCTCCAACCAGTTGTGCAATGCATTTACCCCATATTGCTCTCCAATGACATGGCCCTGGGATTGATTTAGATTCGGTTGTCCCCACCATCATTTTAATTAACACTATTATTTTCAATTAATTGTATTTTAATCATATGTTATTTTCCTCATATTATAGTCAGTTTTGGACCCTTGACGAGGAATTCAAGACTTTCAAACCCTTGACGAGGAATTTAAGACAACGGATCCGTCCTATTTAAACAAAATATTTGTTAAAAGATATTTGGGCAAACCACCCATTTTTAAATTAAGGAAAGGCTGTGTATCATAATAGGCTAATAAATAATAAACGTAGATTATGATATCATTATCTTTAATTAATCAAAAGAGGTTGAGGGCGTTGTTACTTAATGGAGAATGAAACACTGAATGTGGGCACGATGAATAGGGTTAACATAATTTTATATTACTAAATAATAATTACTGTCAGGATCTATCACATTTTGTTATGCAAAACCTTGTTGTTTGAATGGATTCATTAGCTAAGCATAAGCTCCCCCACCTGGTTCATGAACCTTTTCCCAAATGAATTGGATTGAAATGAAAGGGGAGAAAATGGTTTCCATGGCCAGCCGACTGGCCCCATCCTTTTAACTTTACTATTAAATCACCATCCGATCGCTTTCAGCGTTGGAATTTTTATTGCCCCCATATGAAACCGAAAGTGCACTTTCGCTTTCTTCTTTCCATTTCTGTATTAGGTTTAATTTTAGGGTAGACTACATCAAATACCATTTTGAACGTTGGCTTGTTTATGCCGCTAAATTTTTTATTTTGTCAATTATAACATTGAATTTTAATTTTATATTTAATTATGTCACTTCATCGTTAAACCACTAACTAGACAATGACATGAATTTTAGTTTTATACTTTTTGTTCGTCGTTGACAGTCAATCTCTGCATGTCATCGATCTTCTTTCGTGATAAAATTAATACCAAAGCATTCACATTTTGCTATTCATTCTTCTTATGGGATTATTTTTTCACAATATTCATGCAAATTTAAAAAAATATATATATACAATTTTTAGATGTTTTAAGACTTTCTTAGATACGAGATTTAAAGTGCTTGTTCGAAAATCCGAAGAGTGAGAAGTACTATTTTGAGAAGATGAACAACCCACCTTAAAGCTAACCTCATTGGATATTCATTGAAAGAGATCTAAGTATTAATATATCGAATAAATGAATTTTTTATCAATTTTAAGTGAGTTTTGTGAAAAGCTAATCCCATGAGAAGAAAGAGGTGTGAAATGAGAACATTTTGAAAAGTGTAATAATTTATGTTTATATCATCACACCATTTAAACTTTAACAGTTCAATATTTACCTCGAAGAAAAACGAACATTTAATGTAATAATTGAAGAAAAATTAAGTGATAAAAATTATATATGTTCTAAAATTTAATGATATATAGTACAATTTACCCTAAAAACTTGAGAGGATTTGCGTCGATATAAAGAATGTTTGACAGCAGCGCAATGAAGTCACCATCCATATCCCCCCATTAGGAAACCTTTCCTATTTCTCTCACTATTGACAACGACATAAATAGATAGGATTTAATTTTGTCTTTATTTAAAAAATTGTATTGTCTGCTTTATTTGTTGTAATCGAATTTAAATATTCAAATACAAGTGGATGATCTAAAATAATCAAAGTCTTATACATATTTTATTTTCAGTACATATCTCTTAATCTTTAATATTTCTTACGCTTTATTAAAAAAATTATTTATCAATTTTTATTTAAAATTTATTAATGATAAAAAATTTAAAAAATTGTATAAAACTATTTAATCAAATAAGTATAAATATATAATTTATAGAATGCAATAATCATTTAAAATAACTATAGGAAGCCAATCCTCTAAACATGTACGATAGTTGATTGGAGGAGGGTAGAAATAGGTATGGGTATGTGACCCGACGGGTTCCGACCTGACTCGATCGGGTTTTTTTTTAAAAAAAATCAGGTTCGGGTCTGGTCGGGTCAGATTTTTTTAATGTGATGTTCGGGTCAGGTTCCGGTTTAGGGTGAAAAATACCCGATCCGACCCAAAAATATATATAATTTCACTTTATATATTTAGGAATAATTACAATAATACCCCTCTATATATTATTTTTTTCAATTAAGTCACTATTTTTATTGAATATAAATAATATTTTTATTATTATTTTGGGTAAGGTCAAATCGAATCAAGTTTTTAAGTTATATATCGAGTTGGGTTCGAGTCGAGTGAAATCTTATTTTAGTCGGATCAAATTAGGTCGGGATGGAGAACTCTTTGTTCTCGGATCAAGTCGGATGGACTAAAAACCTGACTCATGCCCATCCCTATATAGAATAAGGGGATAAGTCAAAAGATAAAAGGAAATCGGGTCATGATTGAGGGCTTAATAAAGAAATAGTGATGGACTAAAATAAGAATTATGTAATTATTAGTGACCATGTACTCCTGGAGTTGTGGGGCCTATTCATAGTTTTTATTTTTATTTTTAAATAAGTCTTATTATTTTTGTATTCAAATTAAAATGGTCAATGTACGAATGTACTGTTCATATTGACCTAATTGCTTTCCACGCTCTTTGTCACGCGATGGAAGTTTCCTAGTAAGTAGAAACCAATGCAACATGTACCCTTCCCATAAATGGAGGAAGGATGGGACGTCCCTATGTAGAGGGTCTATTGATTATAAAATAATTTCAACTTTAGACTTTAGACCTGTTGTTTAGTTTGATTCAGTCTAATTTTATTATTCAAAATATGATATATTAATATTTTAAATTATTAAAAATAAGTTAATTGAATTCAAATCAAACTCAATCACTCATGATAATATAAATACAGATTATTACTTGAGTTTAATCAGGATAGTTTTACAAGGGTCATTGTTTTTTTCTCTCTAAAAACTGTTATTATAAACGTATAAAGTCAATAATTTTAGTACTTACTATGCTAACATGTGCTCCTTAGGTGTCTTATTGTCCCCATTTTGAAGTGAATTTTTGAGGGGTAAAATCAGAAGCACGGATTGACATCACAAAGTGGACTAGTTTACTTTAAAAGTCTTCAAATGTTATGCTTTTTAATCCATGTTTAATTACTTAATCACATTTTAACTCTTTAATATCATTCTAGTTCATGCAAGAGTATACAATCGACTAAATTTGACCCTAGCTTATAAATGTTCATTTCCCTTTAATTAATTGCAATTTCTAAAAACAGGTTTTGATTTTTTTTATATTCAAAATTACTGTAGTTTCACTTATGGTCAAATTCTAGTTTTAGTCCCTATGCTATGCTTAAAGTTTCTTTTTATAATGTATGTAATTAGTGCAAATAATTAATCATTTTAGTCTGATTTCTTCAAAACACAAGTTCCCATTAAAAATTGGTAACATGACGAGTTAGAAGATGTAATGTTTTTACGAAAAAAATCCACAATAATATTTTAACTAAAATTGCTAATTAAAGGTTTTAAACGCTTGGACCAATTAATAATATTATAAAATAGAGGAGATAAAACAACTTTTAGTCTTGAGTTTAGCAACTTTTCTCAACGTGGTTTTAGGACTTTTTTATTCGCATTAGCCCTTAAGTTTAGATTTTGGTCATTTTTAGTTTGTTTGACGATGTGATGCTCTCGTAAAGACTAAGACGAAAAATTTATAAAGTTCAGGTTTTAATGTGAAAAAAAAGAAGTTGAGTAGAAATTGATTTATTCCGAAAGGAAGGGGTCAAACTATGCCAAATTTAAATATAATGATGAAATTCTCAACTGAACATAATAATAGAGTGATCAAAACTGAAATTTGACCGAGTAGCATTCCAGACATATAATGGTCAAAATGATTAGTTAATTAATTAAGATAAAGGTTGTTGAGAGTGGTCACGATCAAACAAAGACCGTATACCTATCTTTCCTCTTTGGTAGTGCTTACTAAATTCAACCAATTTTATCCACAACTCCTTCAACAAGATGGGGGCTGAACCTAGACTCATTCTTCCTAGTTCCTCCCCACCCAAAGCACTCCTCCTGCCTTATTTATTACCCGCTACGGATGATTCAACCACCACTGTTTTTTTCCTCTTATTTGTTAGGTTATTAGGGCTAGCTTGATGAAGAAAAATGTGACTTCAACTCATAACGTATAAACATTATGGGCATCTGCACATCGCTTTCAATCTTGTTTAGATCCTGTTCGTGCTGATGTTAACATGTCGACAGGACTTAGACATGGATGGAGGTGTCACTATGCTTTGCCTTATTCGTTTAAAACACTCCAAAACATGCCCCCTTTCACATGAGCTCCTCATTTACCCCCTTGTTAACAACGTTATACATTATAATCACTTGTTGAAGTAAATTCAACTCTCAAAAAGTGTAAAAAAAAATGTTTTGTTGTGTAATATTATATGTTGATACTGACAATAGCGATGATCAACATTTAAAATGATACATGTAATCAACATCTAATAGGATAAGTGATTGGTGAACTTTTGTCCGTTAATATGCCCCAAAACAGACTTGTACAAGTAATTGATGCTTTAATTATTTTGGAAGCGATAATTAATTTGCATGCAAAGAAGAAGAAAAGCAGTTTACATGATGAAAACGTGAATTAAATTTATACATTATGAGGGCCACTCTCATATATAAGGGCCCTATGAGAATCTGATATCATTTGGATGTTCTTTTTCTTCTTCAAAACTTAAAGCGAGTTAAAGACATTAATTTTGAATCTGTACGCATCTTGAAGCGAATTTTCCCAACCTTTAAATCAATAAAGGATAATTAAGCGTTTAATTTCCAAAATTATTCTATCTACTACTTTGGACACCTCTCTTTCTTTCTATGGAAATGGCTCATCAATATCTATAATTTAATTTATATTTTATTACATTATATATGTTATGATAATAAAGTATTAATCAATTATAATTTGATAGGATTATATAATTAAAATGTATAAAAAGTACAAATTTAAAGTGCATATATTCATAGATATTTCAAATTCATGACTATATATTTTATTTAACTTGTTGTCGGACACCATAAAAATCTTTGTTGTTGTTACACAATTCCTTAGCGATTACCATAAGTTTTTCATCAAGGGCATCGGCGGTGGTCTCTTCAAGCCACTTCCCTGTCGTTTTTCTTTTCTTTAATCGCTTGTTTGATTTTAATTTTCAGTTATATCTTAACGCACTTAAAAAAATATTTTCTCTTTACCTTTCTTCTAGTAAAGGATATAATGGGTACCGGTGTTTTTGGACTCTCGATGCAGTTTTCTTCTACTGATTTTCTTTTTTGTCTATGCTTATTCAGGATTTCATGGTTGCTTATTTTTCCGATACTTGGTTCCTCAGTTCGTTTGCATTTAACATTCTATTGGTTCTTGGATATATGTGTCGGACAAGGTTGTGATTAAATGAGGATTTTTTTATTCGTTTATCTCGTATATTCTTCAGGTTTTCTTTCTCCATGTCTGATGTTTTAAGACATTCAAGTGATCTATCTCTGTATGTCATTGTCTTAATTGTTCATGTTCTTGTTCAGGTTGTCACTGACCGATCACTATTATAATTTGCTTATGATAAACATTAATGTATTTATCACATATATATGTGGCAAAATATTATTGATGATGTTTTATTTAACCAATAAATATATTATAGTTCTACTTAGAAAAAACTTATTTTCTGATACCCATAGAATAATGAATAATTACAAAAATACAATTATTAAATTCTGGTAAATGTTAATTACTTTAACCAATTAAATTCTGTTTGGGTACTTTTTTTAATTGTGAATTTTAATTCAGTTTGCATAGATGAGCTCCAACTGTCGATTCTATTTCTCATTCTCAAACCTTCTTCCTGAAAAGTGAAACCAGGAAATCCCGTGCCACTTGTATTGACAAATGGCTACCACGTAGGTAAAAGAAGCCGTGGTGGACTGCTGACACGGCAGATACATCCTCTCTTACGCAATTTTGGGTCCAACCCCCGCCGCCGTACGTCACTTTTGACTCACGTGCATATTTTCCTTATTTTAATTTTAAAATAAAAATGAGAAAAGAAATTATTGCTCAAATCTGCCCTTCCTCTCTGGTATATAAAGGGTTAAAAGTAGTTCAAATGTTGCGAAGACCAAAACATAGTTGCTCATTCGCCACAAAACAGAACAACAAACAGAGCAACAACCTCAAAAATCGAAAACTCTTGCAAGAACTTGAAATCCCAACAAAAATGGAGGAACCCACTTTGTTCCAGTACTCAACTACTTCAGAATTCTCCCCAGAATCATCGTTCGGGTCCAGTTGGTGGGACGAGCTTCTTAATTACGATATCTCCATTCCTTTCATTTTCAGCTTCAACGGCACCGACGAAGTCGAAATGAATTGGATGGATTCATTTGCCGAAGGACCCAAAGAGTCATCGGAGTCCAACTCCACCAACAGCGTCAAAGAAGAAGAGGTCACCTCGGATGCTAAACAAGAAGAAACAAATGGTACTAAGAAAGAAAAGAGTTACCGAGGTGTGAGGAAGAGGCCGTGGGGGAAATACGCGGCCGAGATTCGAGACTCGACGAGGAATGGCGTTAGGGTGTGGCTGGGAACATTCGACAGTGCTGAGGCGGCAGCGATCGCGTACGACCAAGCGGCATTCTCGATGAGAGGGTCATTGGCTACTCTGAATTTCCCGGTGGAAGTGGTGAGGGAATCGCTGGAGGACATCAAGTATGGATGCGAGGAAGGTTGCTCTCCGGTGGTGGCTCTGAAGAAGAGGCACTGTTTGAGAAAGCGAAGGAAGAATAAAATCAAAGGCAAACAAAACCAAGTGGCGGCCAAGTCAAGGCAACAACACAATTTGGTTGTGTTGGAAGATTTAGGATCTGATTACTTGGAGCAACTGCTAAGTTCATGTGACACTATTTCTCCTTGCTGAAACTTCGGCTCTTGCTTTCTTTCCAATCGTTCTTGATGTAATTAAATCCTGGAGGTCTGCAACTTTTTGTTGGTGCGTATTTAATCCTTATCGGATTTTGCTTCTTCTTTTCCTTTGTACAATTTTCTTTCTGAAGTCAAAACTTAGAAATCAATAGAAATGTAAATAAAATTATCTTTACGTATTCTGCTTCAATTATTGCAGCATGTGGGGGAATCACTATGAAGTGCTCTCCCCTTTATCATCCACTTCAATTTATATTCTTCGAGGACTGAACACTTTACAACGTACAAATGATCAAAATTATTAAATTTCAGAATTAAAATTAACTTGGGAGTATAAAATATACCTTCAATTTATCAAACAAATTCAATTCTGGGTTTGAGATAGAATGACAAATGCCATCATATTACGAATCCAATGGTAAATATCGAATTATGTTGGTGATACAGGCGCAACACAACTTTAAGAAAATGATAGTATTTTGTTGGTCAACAAATCATGACATAAATTATAATAAAATAATATGTATTTCATGGAAAACTAATAAAATAAATTAAACTAACTAGCTAATCAATATAACTAAAAAAAACTTAATACACATCTAAATTATTTTTAAAAAAAATCTACACTCAACATAACAAGTTGAATTTAGTTATTCGAAAATAATAAACTAAAAGAAGATCGATTCCCTAAAATATCATTGGATATTACAAACAAAGAAAGACAAGAGATAAATATTGTTTAAGATACCTTCTGCTTTCCCTTGTCTGTTACTAAAAAACAAGCCGACAATCTACCAAATTTATAACTAATAATTTTTTTTTTTAAAAAAATTCATCAAACGATTTTAATGGTTAATAGAAATATTATTCTGATAAAAATTTTAAGTTCGAGTAACTATATCTATGAGGTGTATGTATTTTATTGACGACTAAAAAAAATTAAAAATAAATATTATCTTATAATCACCCAAAAATCAATTAAAGAAAGAAGGTAAGCAACTTTCATTTTAGTTTTCCTTCGTTTAATTATTTAATTTTCTAATGAGATGAAAATAAAGACAGTTTCTTAATTGATGCTTGGATATGATCTCTTTAAAGTAAATTGTGCTCAAATTTAGGGTTCTAATTCGAATCTAGAGGGTTGTTTTTTTAATCTAAATTTATCCTTTGTTTATGTAAACCAAGATGGCTTTAGCATGCTTATGCCAGCTCAAGGGAGCCAAGTTTGAAGCAATAATGTGGAGGCCGCGTTCTAGAAGTTTAATTTCAATTGAATTTTGTGGTACCTCTTCCACCTTTCCTCCACAAAGTTGATCTCTATACTCTATTTTCAGAGAATATTTCGGGAGTACACTTTTAAATTATATCGTATAAAAAAAATTATAATGTTTTGATATAATCTATGATAAACAATAAATATGTTAATCTTGATAAATAATCATATTAATCAAGCACGCCATGCTACAGACAACCATAATAACCATACGATTGGTATTCATATTAGAAGTCACTATTAAGCTTCTCAACCAAGATCAAGAAAAGGATATGATATCTTCATCTTCAATCTTCGTTCTCTCTCTTTTTATGGAGACAGTAAACTTGAATAGCTGTCTACATTCGAATAAATACTGGTTGCAACTTTTCTCTCAAGTTAGAAAAGATGAATCGCCAACAATCGACTTAACTCATTTGTTTCAATCAATAATTGATACAGTAAACGTGAACAACTTCAAACCAAAGGTATCAATCACGATGAACCCTCCAAACTGATTATCCTCAAGCAATCTGTCTCACTTCCCGTATTCATCCAAAAATTCTCTCCTCAAACCTATTTGTATTAATGAGTTAGTTACACAGACATGCCTATAGTCGGACGGATTACAAATCCTTCCTAACCTTTCATAATATATTTGATCACTCTTCTAAACATTTTCCTCAATCAATTATCAACAAGACTTCTATTTCAGTGAACGAACTCACGACCTCCAAGGTCAAGCATACACTGCCTCTAACAAGAAACATTGAAGAAGCCCATCAGCAAGGACATTGTTTCTAGCGAGGACATTGTTTCTTACACACACAACGTATGGCCAAGATGTCCCCTCCTGGAATCACTTGATGTACGCATGAGGTGCACCTCAACTATTGGAGTGCAACATACGACGGAGAAAAGGGCACTAAAACAACAGGTCCTCATCCATCTGAGTTATGCTATGCCTCTTCCAATCCTTGTAGAGAACAATGGAAACATACCATCTCCACCCAACTTAACTTTATTTTCTATAATTTGTGTGACCTGTAGGACACCGGGACGAGGCCTCGACAACACGAGAAGGCATACTCGTCTGAGGAGGTCTTGATCGATTTTGGGTCAGCCATCGTCACATCGTAATATGGTAAGCCTCGCACAGATTCGCAAATAAAATTTTAAATTTCTATATTAAAGAATACCCTATAATGGGGTAGACGTATCCAAGTGTATACAAATATCTAGTAAAAAAATTTAATTGATAATAAAATTTATAATTATTTTTTTAATTAAATAGGTCACATCATATATTTTTCAGATCAAACCAATACGAAAAAGTCACAAACTCTAACACGTCTTATAAGTTGGGTTCAAGTTAAATTATCATCACTAAATGATGATTGAATTCGAATGAAATTGAGTCTAAATGATAAGATTGACAAACAAACAAAAAATACATTTTTATACGAATATATCAATAATTTTATATATACTCGATTGTACTCATACCTAACTCAACCCGAATTGACTTGAAGATCCAAGGTTTACCTGACTCGAAAATCAACTTATATGGTCAAAAACTGATAAATTTGATATTGACTCGACCTAAAAATCGAATGATTCAATATTGACCCGAACCAAAAAATAATTGATCTGATATTGATCCGATCCGATTAAATCTAAACCATATTCGACTCAAATTAAACCTAAACCGAACGTTGTCAATGCTCAAAATGACCTGACCCAAACTACGCGTTTGCCACCTCTAATTTTGGGCCATCATCATGATCTTCAATCTAATGTTTTGACCAAGAAACAGAAGGTAGCAGAAGGGTCTACCAGGCATTTGGTTGTGCTCTATCTAATATGATATTGAGGAAACAATCACATCAGACACTACAACTTCAAACACCCCCCCCCCCCCGGCGCCAAATTTCGTATACATTTCTCAGTTTCTTTATGTTACAACTAAAGATTATATGGACCTACTTTTATTGATTTATTCAATGACACAACATAAGCCAAACTATATTGTATGATTTGATATTTTAATGTTGAAGCACATATATCTTATGAGTTGAACGCTTTTCTCAAAACCCATTCCATATGTTTGCTTAATTCATCCTTTGGTGTATCTGTTCAGTGGAAACTTTAAACAAGGATAAGCAGATAAGATGAATGACTTAGTTGCAATGCCGTTCTCATAATAATGTTCATCCTTTGTGAAGTTTTCCAAATATCTGGGATTTTGTGATTCACGCAAAATGAATATTACTGCTATTAGAAATGCCACGACATTTGAAATATGTGTATGCTTAAAGTAAAACACAATGGTACCATTTCACTGCAATCATCATAGCTGGGATGGGCTTCTTCACTGATCCATATAATCTCTTCTGCATATCTCTCGTAACCAAATTGCTCGGCCAGATATACTATCACGTCGATGGCGGTAAGAGCCCTGGATCTTTGCCCTTCAATGTGTTAACGGTGTACCGTTCTGCGGAATGCTAGCGGGCCAGCTCTTCTTCGGTTGACTGAGTAATAAGCTAGGCCGAAAAAGGGTATATAATATGACTCTCATGCTCATGGTGTTAGGCTCTGTTGCATCGACTCTTTCTTTCGGCAGTCACCCGAAATCAGTAATATCAAACCTTTGCTTCTTCCGGTTCTGGCTTGGCTTTGGAATTGGTGGTGAGCATCTGCTTTCTGCCACCATCATGTCCGAATATTCTAACAAAAAGACTCGTGGAGCTTTCATTGCTGCAGTGTTTGCAATGCAAGGCTTTGGTATTTTAGCAGGTGGTGTTTTTGCTATTATTTATCGGCTGCGTTCGAGGCATGGTTTCCTGCCCCGCCTTATGAAGTCGACCCTGTTGGCTCCACCATTCCTGTAGCAGACTACGTTTGGCGTATTATTTTGATGGTCGGTGCACTCCAAGCAGCTCTTACCTACTACTGGAGGCTGAAGATGCCGGAAACCGCTCGTTACACATCCCTCGTTGCTAAGAACATTAAACAGGCCGCGTCTGATATGTCGAAGGTTTTGCAGGTGGACACCGAGGCTGAACCAGAAAAGGATACGCAATTGGAACAGGACAAAGCCAGTTATGGTTTGTTTTCCAAGGAGTTTGCTATACGCCATGGACTTCACTTGCTTGGAACAACCACCACTTGGTTCTTTCTGGACATTGCATTCTACGGCCCAAAAGGATATCTTTAGCGCCATCGGCTGGATTCCTGCAAGATTGAGGTCCACTTGCCATGGTATATCAGCAGCTTCAGGAAAGTTCGGTGCATTCGGGTTCTTGTATTTGGCTCAGAATAAAGATAAGGCCAACCAAGGCAGATGCAGGGTATCCTCTAGGTATTCTGGTGAAGAATTCACTTATTGTATTAGGTGTAATCAATGCCTTGGGCTTCCTGTTCACTTTCTTGGTGCCTGAATCAAAAGGGAAATCTTTAGAAGAGATGTCAGGCGAGAACGAAAACAATGGAGAATCGGAAAAGGCACCGCCATTGTTGTCATCATCATCCTAATGGACAGTTTATGGTTGCTGATAGTTTAAGCTCTCTAAATCTCTTTAGTTCACCAACAGGTTTTTTTTTCCAGCTATTTTTCTATCACATGTACGTTGTTCTAATAATAGAGAACTCTACGGTTGCTTCTTTTCGTACACCAAATTCTCTTGGGAAAATTATCTTCCATGTTAGTTCCATAAATGTATCATTAGTGTGATTAGCAGCACGCATGCCACAAATGGC